ACCACACCCGGCACTTTTCCCTGCAACCGCAGGAAGTGCTACACCTGCCCCCATACCTCCTCCCTCACCCCCATCCCAGGCCCCAAGAAGACTTTCCACATCAAGCAGATGTTCACCTGCACATCTGCCAATGTGGTATACTGCATCCGCTGTACCCAGTGTGGCCTCCTCTACATCGGGGAAACCAAGCGGAGGCTCGGGGACCGCTTTGCAGAACACCTACGCTCAGTTCGCAATAAACAACTGCACCTCCCAGTCACGAACCATTTCAACTCCCCCTCCCATTCCTCAGACGACATGTCCATCCTGGGCCTCCTGCAGTGCCACAACGATGCCACCCGAAGGTTGCAGGAACAGCAACTCATATTCCGCTTGGGAACCCTGCAGCCCAATGGTATCAATGTGGATTTCACAAGCTTCAAAATCTCCCCTCCCCCTACTGCATCCCAAAACCAGTCTAGGTTGTCCCCGCCTCCCACCTGTTCTTCCTCCCACCTATCCCTTCCTCCCACCTCAAGCCGCACCCCCATCTCCTACCTACTAACCTCATCCCTCCCCCTTGACCTTTCCGTCCTCCCTGGACTGACCTATCCCCTCCCTAACTCCCCACCTACACTCACCTTTACTGGCTCCAACCCCGCCTCTTCGACCTGTTTGTTTCCTCTCTACCTATCCTCTCCTCTATCCATCTTCTATCCGCCTCCCACTCTCTCCCTATTTATTTCAGAACCCCCTTGCCCCTCCCCCTTTGCTGATGAAGGATCGAGGCCCGAAACGTCAGCCTTTCTGCTCCTATGATGCTGCTTGGCCTGCTGTGTTCATCCAGCCCTGCACCTTGTTGTCTCTTGTTTCTGATGAAAGGTCCCTGGATTCGAAATATTAACTCTTTTTCTCTCTACACATGCTGCCTGACATGGGGATTTCTCCAGCACTGATTGTTTCAGACATCCCAGCATCTGCACTTTTTTATTCTTATAGAAAGATTTCTTTAGTGACATCAGAGAAGGATTGAAATCACAGCAATTTTGTCCCAGCAATATCCGCACAAGCACTGAAAGCCCAGTGAAGAATTACCACTGTCCCCATATTAAGATTTCTTGCTCAGGCTGCCAGAGCCACACATGTTTCTTCTGACAAATTTTTACACATTCACTCAATGCTTTCTCCTTCATCTTTAACGGAGACATTTTTTAAACTCACTACTTGCTTTAACTTCCAACGAACATGATTTCCTGAAACTCCGTTCCCAGCAGTCTGTCTTTGGCACATAGCCACTGACTGTCTGTCTATTTGATTTCTGCATTGTTTCATCTCTTCAAGTGCTCTAGGACTCCTGTTGCTAGACAACAGAAGTTTGTTTCTACTTTTTTTTAATGTACTAAACCATTTTGCTTCTCTTTGGGGGTTGAAAATTCTTATTAAAAATGCAGATCTACAGACAAGCCTCCAGATTTCCCACATTCAGCCCACAATAACAACTCTTTATTTTAAAAATAAAAATCACGAGCCCCATTCTTCATTCAAAGATGTGGTATATCAATTAAACTTAAAGTTATATATTGTTCCTAATATCTCCCTGAGGGGAATAGAGATGAAAGCACATCTTTAAAAGACACGCTCATTATTTCTGTTTTATTATTACAGATTTTACAGCAGAAGTAATAATTATTTACATCAAATACACAAAGACCTTTCATAAACATCATTCCTCACAAGTCCATTTTGAACACAACATTCATTTTACTTCAGGTTTGGTCTTGATAAAGCACCAGCTGTGGTATTGTCTCTTTCTGCTACATCAATAATTTTCAAATTGTACAGTTGTAGTATTAAACGTCAAGAAACAGTCTCCAATTCTTGTTATGATACTTAGCTCAAAGTCAGAGGACTTTGCTCCATATAAATGATAGTCTCGCACTTCTTTGACAGTAAATTTTAAAATGACATAGATCCAACACCAAATTCAAGGTCTCCTTTTCTACAGTTGAGTATTTCTGCTGGCAAGCATTCAGCTTTTTGAGTAACTGAGTAGTCATTCAATGATATCTCATTTTTTATTATTTAAAATGCATGCCAACACATACATTGCTGATTTCACCTGCCAGTTTAAATGAATGAGCATAGTTCAATGCTGTTAAAATTGATGCAGTAGTCATACAGTTTAAAGATATCAAAGGCACTCTGACACTCTCTGTCCATTAAAAGTTCTTGCTTTTCTTTAACAGCCTTGTCAGGGGAGCCAGTACAGTGCTGAAAATTGCAGCAATGTAGAATTCACTCATGCCTATGTAGCACAAAACCTTTTGCTCTGTCTTAAGTACTGACCACTCAATATAGCCATTATTTTTCCTTCTCTGGCTGCTATGTGGCCTTGTCCCACTGTGGTCCGAATAAGTTACTTTTCCTTTTGGTAAATTCGCTTTTTGCTTAGTTTATAATGAACATGGTTCTTTGTG